CTCTCCCAACTTCTGAGATCCGCTTACTTTTGAGTCCAGAAACTCCAATTCGCTCATTATTTGCTCAAAATGTCCATTTTGGCTTGAAACACAAAATGTAAAGAATTAAGTAGCAATTCAGGCATAAATGAACTAAGAAGTATCTAAAATCCGGCCTAAAAGCCTAAATAAAATAGTATAATTATGGGATTATCACCAACCTTGGCACCTGTGGGTAGCAAAATCCACCAAGTAACCCCATGGTCGATAGTGTTCTTGTAAGCATTAACGGTTGCCTGGCCAACCTTGCACCTGTGGGTTAGAAAATCAGCCAAGTAGCCCATGACGAGCAGTTTTCCTATAGGCAACAAGCAACTGAAGGGTTGGCTGCCTATACCTCAGCATCTGTAGGCAGCAAAATCGGTTAAGCAGCCCTATGACGGGTAGTTTTCCCACAAGTAACTAAGGTGTAGCCTGCCCATGCCTTGGCACCTGTAGGTAGAAAAATCAACCAACAAGCCCCATGATGGGCAGTTTTCCTGCAAGCAACAAGCGCTACTTGCCTAGCCTTGGCACCTTTAGGAAGCAAAATCAGCCAAGCAACCCTATGATGGGCAAATTTCCTGCAAGCAACATGCGATTAAGTGCTTGTTTGCCCATGCCTTGGCACTGTGGGTAGCAAAATCAACTAACAAACCCCATGATGGGATGTGTTCTTGCAACGAAGAAAGGCTGCTTGCCCAGCCTTGGCGCCTGTGTGCAACAATTCAGCCTAGTAGCCCCATGATGGGTTGTGTTCCCATAAGCAAAAAGGGGTGCCTGCCCAGCCTTGGCACCTTTAGGCAGCAGAATAAACCAAGCAAACCCATGATGGACAGTTTTCCCACAATAAAAAAGCAACTAATGGGCTGCCTACCCATGCCTTGGCACTTGTGAATAGCAAAATCAGCTAAGCAGCCTCATGATGGATAGTTTTTCCACAAGTAACAAGCAACTATGGGGCTGCCTACCCATGCCTTGGTGCCCATGCCATGCCACTTATGGGCAGAAAAATCAGCCAAGCAGCACCATGATAGGCAGTTTTCCTGCAAGCAACAGAAAGGCTGCGAGCCCATGCCTTGACACTTGTGGACAGCAAAATCAGCCAAGCAGACCCATGATGTGCAGTGTTCTCGCAAGTAACAATGGTTGCCTACCCAACCTTGGCACCTGTGGACAGCAAAATCAACTAAGAAGCCCATGATGGGTAGTTTTCCCGGAAGCAACAAGCAACTAAGGGGTTGCCTACCCATGCCTTGGTGCCCATGTCGTGGCATCTGTGGGTAGCAAAATTAGCCAACAAGCCTAATGATGGGCAGTGTTCCCGCAACCAACAAGGGTTGTCTGCCCAACCTTGGCACTTGTGGGCAAAAAAAATCAGCCAAGCAACCCCATGATGGGTAGTGTTCTCGCAAGCAACAATGGCTGCCTACCCAGCCTTGGCACCTATGGGCAGTAAAATAAGCCAAGCAACCCATGACAGGCAGTTTTCCCGCATGCAACAAGCAATTGAAAGGTTGGCTGCCAATGCCTTGGCAGCAAAATCAGCCAAGTAGCCCCATAATGGGCAATTTTCTCGCAAGCAACAAGAAATTGAGGGGTTGCCTGCCCATGCCTTGGCACCTGCGATAGCAAAATCAACCAACAAGCCCTATGATGGGAATGTTCCCACAAGTAAGAAGGGCAACTAGCCCAGCCTTGGCACTTGTGGGATGCAAAATCAGCCAAGCGGCCCCATGATGGGCAGTGTTCTCGTAACCAATAAGGGCTCCTACCTAGCCTTAGCACCTGTGGGAAAAATAATCAACCAAGTAACCCCATGATGGGCAATTTCCTGCAAGTAGCAAGCAACTGAGGGGCTGCCTACCCATGCCTTGGTGCCCATGCCGTGGCACTAGTGGGCAACAAAATCAACCAACAAGCCCCATGATGGGCAATGTTCCTACAAGTAATAAGCAACTAAGAACCTACTTGCTCATGCCTTGGTGCCTATGCTATGGCAACTGTGGGAAGCAAAATCAGCCAACAAGCCTGATGATGGGTAATGTTCCTACAACAAACGCAACTAAGAAGTTGCCTGCCCATGCCTTGGTGCCCTAACTTCTATGATTTTTTTAAGAATAAAAGTTTTAAAAATCGTAGAAAATAGGAGAATAGGAATTTTTTGTTAGGGTTTATTTTGTTGTGCTATGAAAATCCCCAATTGAGTTGGTTGGCAAATTATTGTGCAGGACAGTATTAATTTCATGGGGGAGTCTTCTGAAAACAGTGTGCTCGACGCATTTCATGCATTGAGTACAAAAAAACCGATTTTCGAATTTTGAGTTGAAATTCGGCGTGGTGGTAAAGAAAAATCTAAAACTTTGAACAAAAGAAAAAAAAAGGTGGGGAGGAAAAATTAAGGGTAAACCACTTCCCCGGCAAACAATGCAGTTTGTGCATCGGGCGTGAAAAAACCAACCTTTGAATTTTGAGCTAAAATTTGGTATGGTGGTAAAGAAAAATCTAAAACTTTGGACAAAAAAAATGGAGGAAAAATTTAGGGTAAATTAACTTTTATGATTTTTTGTTGGTCTTTGTTTTGTTGTGCTCCTAAAATCCCCAATAGAGTTGTTGGCAAATTATTGTGTAAGATAGTATTAATTTCGTGGGGGAGTCTTATGAAAATAATGCGTTCAACGCAGTTTGTGCAGCGGGTATGAAAATATCAACCTTCAAATTTTGAGCTGAAATTTGGCGTGGTGGTAAAGAAAAATCTAAAACTTTGAAGAAAAAAAAAAAAAGGAGCAAAAATTAAGGGTAAACCACTTCCCCAGCAAATTCATGCATCGAATACGAAAAAACCGACCTTCGAATTTTCAACTGAAATTTGGCATGGCGGCAAAGAAAAATCTAAGGGTGCATTTGGTTCAGTATTTTGGATAGGATTTTGTGGATAGGATTGGATAGTTGGATAGGGTTATGATTACGAGAATATGATTTTTAGAATATGTGTTTGGTTGAGTATTTTGACATTGATATTTGTGTTGAATATTTGATTAATATATTTTTTTATAAATGATTTATTAATATAATATTTTGTTGAATTTTGTTAAAATAATGTATTATTATATATATATATAACTTATCAAGTTACATTTTAATAATACTAAATATTTTATTGGTAATTTTGTCACCCGTAGATATTAAGAAACAAAAACCCATATTAATTTCAAGTACTAATTCAACTGTTTAAAAACATCATATTCATACATATATGACAAAAGTACTAATTATCAACCCTTACAACATTCTACACTATACTCCATTAACAACTACGACATGGTCCACTGTGCTACCCACAGTGCATTCGTTATGTTATCCCGTATAGTTGTCATGTTGTCTATAACCTTGTTGCGTAGACTCGGTCCTTCTCCATTTCGGCCATATTCTGTCCCGTTTTGACGATCACAATATATTTGCTCATTACCTATATTATTATTGTTGTTTTTCGAACTACGGTCGTCCATATTGTGCATTCTGATAAAATTATGAAGTACACAACATCCATAACAATCTTCCCTTTTTTTGTCCAACGGGTAATTGTTCATTCCATTCAAATACGGAACCTCTTTTCAAAACACCAAAGGTTCTCTCAACAACATTGCGGAGTGAAGCATGTCTGTAGTTAAACAACTCTTGCGGCCCTTTTCGATTACGACCCATGATCAGATATGGTAAGCCACTCGCCATGAGGGGCGAGGAACCCGTCTCTATTTGGATAAGCCACATCAACCAAATATTATTTCCCTGTAATATATCAGACATTTTATTTGAATTACAGGGCCTCAACAGTGGAGCAAATACGCTATAATACGTCAAGAAAATCTTATACTCGTGGAGGATGTGGGAATCCAGAATTAGGATCATCAAGAATTGAATTTAAAACTCTTGAATCATGCGCAGATCCTTCCCATCCAGTAACGACATAAGTGAACATCATGTTAAAGTCGCATACGCCATTACTTCTGTGTCTTCATTCCTTATTTCCGGTACCTATCGGCAAATTCACGTGGAACCGAAGCGTATACATGTGTGCCATCCATGGCTCCAATACAGTCCTATCATGAAAATGGAATTTTACTCATATTAACCGACTATAAAATTAATAACACAACGAACTTAACTATCTACTAATGAAACATAATGAACCAGTACCTTAAAAAAGGGTAATATTTCTATTGGCTGATATTTCCCATGGAACACTCATTGAAGTCAGGTGGTCTGATAAACTCTTGTCTTCAACTCACATATCGGTGAAAAAACCTGCGGCAACATGTCTAGAGATCGTCTCACCCGAATGTTGGAAATCCTCCATCATTGTTCTGATTGTCTCATTTTTTCCAACGATTGTTAGAAATATCATAACTTGTTCTTCCAAACTCGTATTCCTGGTTGGTTGCAATTTGCCTTGATCGGACAAAATTTCACATAAGTATGTAAAACAGTCTTTGTCCATGCGGCACTTATCATAGATCCTGTCAGGATGACCATTGAGTACTTCAAACATGTACTCATGACCAGTTAATATGGATGTATGTCGTGGTTCAGGCCTACTTGCTTCTAACGCGGCAACACAGCAGAGTGCAATGGCTATATCTGTCAGTATTTCTTCTTCGTCCCTCTCATCTGTAGCACATCATCTTCTTCCTGTACGGCTAGACGACACCATTTAAACCTACACATTTTCAAAACATTTATCAACAATTAACAGTTGTTGTACTACTTAGCAAAATATAACAGCGAATGTTTAATTCTAATGACAATCCAAAACAATGTTTAAACATGTAATATCACATAAAACAGTACCACAATTAATAAGTTCATACAGTAGCGTTATAAATTGTAATTGTAATGGCAACTGCCCACTGACGCATACAAAATTGTTGCCAAACACTTAGGAAATATAGTGTCATCTACTTATTGGAAAATTTGTTATAAATCTAGTTAGCCATTTCCTCAAGCGGGAGTTTCACGAATATCTCCCGCCACCCTGGATTTTCATATAAGTACTGGACAACCGGCAGGTAAAACTGTGTCGGTACTTGCATGGCCGTCAAGATGTCAATACAATTGCTCATGGAAAAAGGATCAGATGGAGCATTGGTGTTCTCTCTTTCCCTCTCATCTGCACTACAATTGCTAGCCCTCGATCCCATAGTCCGCTTCTCCACAAGCTCGTCTGTCAAGCTAAAAATGGCATCCTCAAGTGATTGTCCTCGGTTGCTTCTGTTCCTCCTATTTCTCGCTCTTCCATGGCCAGATGTGTTTGGTCGTTTTTCCCCTGTCGTCCGATCAGGATCAGGTTCAAAGTCGCTACCATCCATGGGAACCGCGTCAGGATTGGAATAACTAGAGGTCTCCACTAGTTGGGATGTAGATGTGTATGCATATCTTCCAGTGGTAGATTGCTTCTCAAATACTATTTCATAAAGCTCCTTATGAGGAAGTCCCTTGTGGTAAAATTGTTGCGCCAATGGGTTTTGCTGGTAAGTTAAAAGAATAATATATTAATATTTAGCAGTCTGAAAAAAGCATACATTTACGGTGTCATTGAATAATATTAGTTAAAAAATATGAAAATTTACCTTGACATATTCTTGCCAAACCTTAACGGGATACGTTGGACTTTGTGACTCGTGATCCCATCTAAACCCCGTGTGTTGCAGCAATTTCCGCCATGCTTGATAAGTTTTTCGCAGGCGAAAGAACCTAGAGGCTAATTGTGTAACATTGAGTCTCCTGCCAGCCACTGATGATATGCCGTCCAACATTGCCTGGTAATCTGCTGTTTTTATTGCGGTACCGTGTGAATTTTTGGCCCGCTCAGATAACAGGACCATAAATTTGTGGGTCATCTCAGCAGACCAGGCCACAGAATCACTCATCTAAGGACAGTACGGTAAGGGACAACAAACATTGGGACACCATACGAATCACCAATCACATTAAAAAATATAATACTAACATGTGGTGGTAATCAAGTAAACACAGATAAACTTATACCTCATTCGATCCGACATTGCTTGATGACGTCAATGCAGGGGCAGATACAGACAATGTAAACCAACTGGGTGTATGACGAACTCCAATTCTAGAAAAACGTTGAAACTTTCGCCTTTGCTTCAAGTAGTAATCAACCCTGCGACGTCGAGGCAAATTATACTGACATCTGTGCATATGAGCGTAATTTGTTGTTATGATTAAAGAATGACGTCGAATCTACAGAACAGATATATCAGTTAGTGAAGTCCGAAAAAAATAATTCTAATTATCCAATAATTCATCCATTACATACAAAATGTTACATACAGAACATATGAAGTTGTACAATTTTTTGACACTTGTGTTAAAAGGAAAAAAAGTACTAACAATGGCAAAATTGAAATAGAAATAAGTACAATTACGTTGTATGTCTTCACATAAGCTAACTGGATTCGCAAAAACCAACTGTCTCTTTACAACATATTTATAAAGCCTGGCAAAAAAAAAAAAAAAAAAAAAAAACAATAGATTAAACTCATTCGCCAAACTCCAACACCAAACAAATTGACGCGCTTATTCAACATGTACAACACATTTACAACCTGCAAAAAAAAAAAAAAAAAAAAAAAATCCAAAACTTTCCTTCACTAAAATCAAATATTTCCAATGACAATCTGATGGTTTGACGGTATTGTGGCATAACAGTGAACGATCGGACTATTGTGGCTTGACCATGTTGTGGCTTAATGGTGAACGATCGAGTGTCTGTGGCTTGCCAGTGGGTATCGTGGTGGTCCATCGGTGGTTGCGGTGAACGATCGGAGTGTTTGTGGCTTGACGGTATTGTGGCTTAATGGTGAACGGTCGGAGTTTTTCACTGAAATGCTGAAGTGAAGAAACAGTGAAGAAGCTGCTAATGTAAACTGAAATGGTGAAGTGAAGAAGCAGTGAAGAAGAAAAGTGAAACTGTGCATAATGTAAACTGAAATGGTGAACACTGAACAAGTGAAGTGAAGGAGCGTGAAAGAAGAAATGACGAACACGTGAAAAAGGACTGCAAAAAAAACAGGTGAAGCAGCTTGAAAGAAGAAAAAAGAACGCGTGAAAAAGGAAGGCTGCAAAAAAAAATTCAAACGTGTCATAAGCTGTCAAAAGAGAACGCGTGAAAAAGGGGAAGGCTGCAAAAAATAAATTCAAACGGTCAAGTTGTCAGAAAAGTGTTGGAATAGAATTTTGAAGATCCTATTATCTAAATATTGAACCAAACACTATTCGGAAAATCTGACTCAAAATATGGATGAAAATACTCATCCAAACGTAGCCTAAAAGTTTGAACCAAAAAAAAAAAAAAGGAGGAAAATTTCAAGGTAAATTAACTTCTATGATTTTTTTAAGAATAAAAGTTTTAAAATTGTAGAAAATAGGAGAATAAGAATTTTTTGTTAGGGTTAGTTTTGTCGTGCTCCTAAAATCCCCATTTGAGTTGGTTGGGAAACTATTGTGTGGGACATTATTAATTTCGTGGGGAAATCCTTTAAAAACAGTGTGCTCAGCACAGTTTGTGAATTGGGTACAAAAAACTGACTTTCAAATTTTGAGCTAAAATTTGGCGTGGTGGTAAAGAAAAATCTAAATCTTTGAACAAAAAAAAAAAAAGGGAGGAAAAATTAAGGGTAAGCCATTTCCCCCACAAACGGCGCAGTTTGTGCATCGGGTATGAAAAAACCGACCTTTGAATTTTGAGCTGAAATATGACGTGGTGATAAAGAAAAAACTAAAACTTTGAACAAAAAATAGGGGGGAGGAAAAATTATGGGTAAATCACTTCCCTGGCAAACGACATAGTTCGTGCATCTGGTACAAAAAAACCTACTTTCGAATTTCAAGCTGAAATTTGGCATGGTGGTAAAGGAAAATCTAAAACTTTGAACAAGAGGGAATTTTGGGTAAATTAACTTTTATGATTTTTTGAAGAATAAAAGATTTAAAAATCATACAAAATAGAAAAATAGAAATTTTTTGTTGGGGTTTGTTTTGTTGTGCTCCTAAAATCCCCAATTGAGTTGTTGGCAAATTATTGTGTGAGATAGTATTAATTTTGTGGGGGAGTCTTCTGAAAATAGTGTGACTGGTGCAATTCATGTATCTGGTACAAAAAAATCAACCTTTGAATTTTGAGCTAAAATTTGGCGTGGTGGTAAAGAAAGTTTTAGACAATTTTACCCTTAACTATTAAAAGTTTTGGACAATAATGCTCTTATTTTGAAATTAGTTTACATGAACCTGCCATTACAATTTTACCCCTAATTAATTAAGTTTTTGGACAATAATGACCTTATATTTAAAACAAATTGCAAGCCACCTACGAACACTATCGCCCGCCAGCCACCACCGTTGGTTGTTGTCAGCCATCGCTGACCGTTGCCAAAATAGAGCATGATCGGCCGAATCTGGCTAATTGTGCATCAATCTGGTTGAAAACAGCCAGATTGATGGTTGTAGATTTGGTCGAAAATGGCCAGATCCATGGCGCCGTGCATCAAATCCATGGTGCACAATGGCCACATATCTGGTCGTTAGCGATCATTGATTTGGCCGGAAACGGCCAAATCGATGCACGGTCAGCCATATCCGACTAGTTGTGTGCCATTTTGGTAATGGCCAGCGACCGGCAGTGGTTTGGGGTGGGTGGCAGTGATTTTGTTACAAATTCAACTTTTATATGACTAGGGTGTTTTAGTAAAATCTCAAATGTAGGGGGTTAAAAGAAATGATTCAAAGGAATAATATTTTATTAATATTTAAAAATGAAGGCAATTTAGTAATCTATATAACATATTCACTAATTTATTCTAGTCTGTTGTGCGAAAATAAAAATCCAGCTCAAGCTTGGGGAAGCATAGGGATCCTAGCTCAGTTGCCACACTAAACGAATATAGCAAAAGACTCACCCCAAGCAAGTGACAGCTTGCAGACAAGTGTCAACAAACCTCAAAGCTCGTTACAACACCTAATGAATCTATATTTAGGCACCACTTGCAATACATGCAGTTGCTTCATTTAACCAACGACTACTCTCTGGCAAACTCCATTTAATCACAGATGTAACTAGGATTAAACATAATAATGCCCTCACGACCTCAATTGCCCAAAACCTGTCAGGGCTGATAGTAATCATTTCGCTGACGCAGCCCCACTCACAACCGCCATTACAAACCCCTATAAATACCACGATCAAAACTCTCAAAGAGAGAAAAAGGCAAATAGGGAATAGAAAGAGAGTATATGGCGTATCAACTGTAATCACATTCTCTATAATCACGCATCTCAATAAAAAGAAACAATGGACGTAGGCTTGATTCTTTGGTCGAACCAATTTAAAAAGCTCTCCTCTTCATTTATCATTTCTTTGTCTTCATCATCTTTGACTTTGACCTTGTTCGACCAATACATGCCCATCTTTGCTAGTTCCCAGGAATCATGCACCCATCCTGCTCGGTTCCTTCTAAGGTCAGTTGAGAATCTCCAGTTGACGTGTGTTCAAGTCCCGACGCTTTGGTCGATACAAGAATTCGCATCAACGCAACCTAACCAAACATATTTCCCTAAACATTCCTAGTAATCTATTTTTCCATTAGTATAACATTCCTTGAACCAAACGCACCCTTAAAGTCTTCAAAATTTTAAAAATTTCTAATGGGCATATTTGGGATACAAACCCTGTTAGACCCGGTCAACCTACTTAACCACCCAGGCGGGGTTTGGCTTTTTTGTTTTAATTTTGTTAAGTCTCTTCGGATTATTTTTATGTTTTTTTTTTTTCCTTTTTTAGTTTTAGATTGTTTTAGGTTTTTTGAAGTTTGTATGGTTTTAAAAAAAAAAAAAATTTGAAATTTGAAACTAAATTTACATAAATAATATATAAAAAAAAAATCTAAGTCTTTTTACTTTTTATTTTTCTGTTAAACAAATTAGGGGTGTGGAAATCTGGTTAACCGAACTGGATTGACCACTTTTCAAACCGAATCGGTTTTTCGGTTCAAAGGATAATTTGAACCGAAATTGGACTGAATTATCTTTTGAACCGATTATTAATCGAATCGAATTATCAGTTCAGTTACCGGTTAACCGGTTATAAAACTACTCCTAAACCAGTAAACCTAATTCTAGTTTCTAAATATATAGACCAATAATTGATTAAGTAATCCAGCCTTTCCATTTGCTAGAAATTTTCCAGTTCAGAAACAATTCATTCCAAGTGCCCATGATGATAGAGACACTATCAAACCCTCATACTTTCCTCAGCAAAACCCACGCTCCACCGGCTATCCCCACTCGTCGTTTGTTGTCCATGATCCATTCTCACAACCGTGCAATAATCACCATTTGCGACCCTTTTCCACTGCAAATTGTCGTTTTTTCCCCTTTCTATGCCCCCATCTTTCACCTTGGTGTTTGTTGTGGTGGTTGTGTATTTTTTGGTCGCTGGATAACCTCCACCAACCCAAAATCTCCTCTCCAAACCGAAGAGAAGAAGAAAAAGAAAGAGAAAATGAGTGAAGGAGAAAAAATGGAGAAGACGAAAAAGAAAAAGAAAGAAAAAATTGAAAGGAGAAGAAGACGAAAAAGAAAAAGAAAAGTGGAGAAGGAGAGGAAGAGAAGAAGAAAAATTGAAAAGAAAGGATAGAAGACAAAAAAGAAAAAAAGTGGAGAAGCGAACCCAAGAAAAACAGGAGTTGAAGCAGAGTAGCAGACTGCAGACTACGCAATACTAAGGAAAAGTGTGGAAAAACTGAAAAGAGGGCATTTTTATATTCAATAACACTATGCGTATGCTCTCTCTTACAAAGAGAGAGCGTACGCACTGACGTGGCTGACATGGGGCATGTGGGCCACGCTTCTTAATAATAATAAAAAAAATAATTAAAATTGCAAAACCAAAACTCCCATGATAATCCTAAACCAAATTCCCTCCCCAATTTCATCTTCATCCTAAATCAAATTCTCTCCCAAATTTGATTTACCCTAACCATCAAAATTTGTAATTCCTCTAATCAAATCTTTATCTGTGAAAGAATACCCATGAGTTCCTACTAAGGATTCTAAACTAAGAGATATTAATTAGGACATAATCTGTGAAAGAAGGTGAACCCGAACTGGTAGGGAAGGCCCTGCCTTTTAGTTAGCTCTTAGTT